GCTCGAGTTGAAGTCTCTTCTACAGACCAACACCATGACTGTGCAACATTGCAGCATTTTCTCTGATGAGTCTTGAAGTTCGCCCCTGTTACCAAGGAAACCTCGTTATTGAGAGGATTGCGACTACAAGGCCGTTTCTACAGCTATCCAGATACTGTACAGAAATGGCTAAAAGACTTGCATTCAGAGCTTACAGCAAGGACATCACGTGAAGGAGAAGGCCGAATTAATCAAAAACACAGACGGTCGCTGTGAGAAAACCCAAGTATTCAAGTAATGTACATACAAGAATGCTCCTCTCACACTGAGGGTTTTGGTTTTGAAACATTCCAGGCAGTTGTTTTATATGCAAATGTTTGCAATTGGACACACATTTTGAGCTGTTTTATAGTCGAGTGCTCTGACACTTAGAATGAGAAATTTATTGGAAATTAAAACTTACATGCATCTAACTTTTATATTTAAAGACATCAAATTTTTAGCATTTCACATGCTTATTCAGAAAAAGAGGTGATTCATGGTGAAAGTTAGAGCTTTTTGCATATGATTGCTTATACCGACCGTTCTGACAAGGGACAGTTTCTCATGCACTTGTCACTTTCTTTCCACAATATAAGCAGATCCTCGTCCGGTGGGACTCTAACGAGAACTAAATATACCTCCTGTGGGTATAAACCATCACCTCTCATCACTACAATACTGCATCCACAATGACACCAACTGCATTCTTCTGTACTCATGAAAATTTGGGTGAGAAATTCAATGTGAAAGTACATTTCGGTTGCCTAAAGATTTCATGATATAGTATGTAAAAAGTGATATATGATATATGTTCAAAAGTTTGGGGTTAGTATGATTTTTTTTTAAATAAATTGAACCCTTTTATTCCATAAGGATGTGTTAAATTGATCAAGAGTGACTGTAAAGATATTTATAATGTTACAAAAGATTTATATTCCAAATAAATGCTGTTCTTTTGAACTACTGTAGATCAAATAATCTTGGAATCATGCTTTACACAATTATTAAGCAGCACAACTTGTTTCAACAATGCTTCTTGAGCAGCAAATCAGCATATTAGAATGATTTCTGAAGGATCATGTGACTCTGAAAAGTGTTGTAATGATGCTGAAAATCAGCTTTGCCATCACTGGAATGAAATTATATTTTAAAAGTATATAAAAAAAATAAATACATTTAAATTATATAATTATAATAATATTTTATTTATATTTTAGATCAAATCCATGAAGCCTTGGTGAGAATGAGAGACATTTTAAAAACATAAAATACCCCTTACCAACTCGAAACTTTTGAATGGTATATATTAAAAAAAAATTTCAATAATGATTCAAACAAAAATGGTATCATATAAAAAATAAAACATTTTTAGTCATTAAATTAAAAAATTCTTGAAAATAGTACAAAAATTTTTTCCAAGTCAAGTCATCCTCATTTGTATAGCACTTTTAACAATGTAGATTGATTCAAAGCAGCTTTACAGAGATAAAATTATTATAATTTAAGGTAACAGAGATTGGTTTGGTTCTTGAATAATGTTATTTTCTAGCTAAAGTTAGTTTTGATTGTTTCACTTCTGTAGAAATAATCATTTGTTATAAAATTAGGGGCCGCTAAGACGACACCATTCTCTATAAACAGACTTTACACGCGAACCTGGGATAAATGCTGATGGCGTTCGCATGCAAACATGCGAATTAAGAAATTATTTTATAGTTATATGCATTTAAATATATGTGCGTAGGTTTGTAATTCCCAACAAACCATGCCAAAACAAACTACTTGTCTTGTCAAATGGTATGAAATCATCTTTCCAAATTGTGTGAAACCAACATGTGTGTACAGTACACAAAGAGTACATATCAAGGCACATATTGGTCACTGACCTACATGCTTAGTTCGCATTGATTTCAGCACACCAAGGCCTGAGAATACAATACGAGCAAATGAGGGGCCTACTGACCTATCCTGAAAGCGCTGCAACACGTCAAGCACAATGTAACTCTGAATTTAATGGATGTTAAAAAGAGTCGAAATAAAACGGCTCATATTCTTTGCCCTCTGAAGCTCAGCTTCTTAGACTTCAAAAATAGTCGCACCACAGTTCACAAATTATACTGCACACGCTCTGTGTTACGGCCCGTCTGCATCGCACACCTTGTGAGCAGATCTTAGATCTTCGCTGTTGTGTGTGTGTCGTACTCCATGTCGAAGGAGGAAAGGGGGAGGCTTAACGACTGATCCATGCAGCTGTGTTTGATCCAGGGGAAATACACATTAATGCGCTGCAGATGTGCTTCTCACTCACTCACACACACACACATACCCTCGAGTCAAAAAGATGGATCTGGCTGTTGAAGGGGAGCAACTACAATAGTTTTCAAAAGAATGCTAAATGAAATCTGGAATGCTACGTCAGACACAAGCATGCACAAAACCAGCCAATCTGTGCGTAAAAACAAACAAACAAATGAAAGATTTGCAAACAGCACACACCTGTACCCATTTTTGTTGTAGCACTCAAAACGTATTCACTTTATAGCCCTTAATCCTGTAATTGTGGACAAATGAGGGCACAAAGGACTCATGTGTGATCCTAATTATTATATTTATTATAAATGTTATATCACTGTCTTTGATAAAGTTTTGTCTATCCATTTATGGTGTTTTTTTTTATTTGGGGGGTATTTTTGAATTTATTTACTTCAAAAAGTACCATTTTTTCTATGTAAATTATGCTTATTTTTATGTTTTATTTTTTTAACTACATTAAAATATCACTCCAATAAGTTCTTAGAGCTAAAACCTAAAGTGACTTTGTTGTCACCTGGTGTCTTATTTTGGCTTATTTTATAATGCTCTAAATTACAGTTTTTCCCATTCATTTCTATGGGTGCCCATTTATGACCCAAATACAAGATTAAGGAGTTTTTTTCACCAACTTAACATTGTAGAATTGAGTCAAAAAAATTTGTGTGTGTTCAGGAGGCAAACTTAAGAAAAGTAGGCAAGTCTTGTACCGCTCAGATCAAGAGAAGTATTTTTTAAAAATAAATCAAAACTATTTTGCCCACATTTGTCCAGAATACGCTTTTAGGGTTAAACACGGCGGTTTAAAAAGCAAAACAATAAAAACTGTCGCTTCACAGAATTTGTTGGTCGAATTTTCCACCTTTTCAAAGAAAACAGGTCTTTGAAGACCACAGTGAACAGAATGAGTTTTACTCAACAAGAGAAACATATGGAACTGACAGAGATTGGCGCCAATTGAATCGATAAAAACAGCAATTGCTCAACTAAAAGGAATCTTCTCTGTGTGGGAAAGAGGGAACAACTGTCATGACAAAGCAGATCAGAGTAAGTTAAGGTTGAGGGTGGGGGAGCTATCCCTTTAAAAACATTCACACTGGATTTCAAGACGGTCCAATCACAGTCACATTCCTACAGCAAAGAAAAGGGGCAACTGGTATGAAGATGTGGCCAGAAAACATTGCCCAGCCATTTCAATGCCACTGATAATTTCCCAAGGAGAGGAATCTGACAGAGCTTTCCCATCAAACCCTCCGACACTGATAGAGCTCGACAGGGGCCTCTTCCAGACCCTGAAGGGGACAAAAAACAACAACAACGCACTCTTTACCGTGACTGTGGTTCACTGCTCAAGTAGCATAAAAATGCTTTCCACCGCAGTCAGCAGCACTCCATCAAGTCATGCAATTTTCCTAAGTTTTGTGTTGATTCAACATGGAAAAAGACTACTATAGTGAAGATTTATCTTGGCAAGACCACCTTGAGTGGCACTGGCATCCATTCTTTAGTATCGCACATGGACAGTGCAACAACCAGCACAACTGTAAAACCTTGAAGGCTCTTATGGAGTATTAAACACATTTCATATTCTCTTTTTTTCATAGTTTAGCATTTGATTTCATCATTAACCGCTGCAAATGGATAGCAGCTGTGAGGGAGTGTTGAATGTAAGAACTGAGCCCACGTTCTCTTTACAAAAACGAGACTTCCAGTCAGAGCGAGAAGAAAGGGACACTCCGAGGTTATATTTTCGGCATGTTTATGATGATTCTGAGCTATTAATGATAAAGTAATGCTAGCAGCTACAATACCCTTGAACTGTCATAGACTAAATTAGCCTCCAATTTGGACTAATCTTTAGCGCTGTAAAGAAGATTGACACGGCAGAGATAGTTTTGCAACATATCCATATTCTGTAAGCTTCACATTTGAAAGAAATGACACATAATGAAGTGAAATGAATAGAAAATAATGCTAATGAGGGAATGTCAATCGACAAGCTCGGCTCGTAATAGAACGTACATTAATTAAGGCCTTAAAAAATAGCAGGCAGTAAGCTGGGTCTATATCCACCAGTGAACCATGAATCATTCGCAATCAATAACCTCTGAGAAATGATGATGACAAAATGGATTCAATAGTGTCAATCATTGTTTGGTTCACCCACTTCATCTTCATATTGTAAGTCTCTCATACACAACTCTATCAACAAAATGGCCAATCTTTAACTGTATTTATCCTTAATTTAGGAATTTTTTGAGATGGGTGATTGCTAGCCTCTAGCTTTCTAGGCAATATAGCTAAAAAATATCTATATTTCACACGCACACACAATCTAATCCCAGAGGTGCAACTCACACCCAAGTACCCGTTTCACACATGGAGATGCTTGCGCCTGCAGGATGTGTGGAATGTAAATGGCTTTTAATACTTAGATTAGGAAGAAAAAAACAAATACTGAGCACAAAAGCAAAGCGATACCACAAGATATAGCCCAACTTGAGGAACATTTTTAACCCACATACTTGGCAATGTGTCAAATCCATATATGTCTGATCTAATAATAGCAGCGAGATGATTTAGTAGCGGATGGAGGAAAATTAGGTCGAGGTGCTTTAAGGTACAATTGAAAAAAGTCACCACAGAAGATTGAATGTGGCGATGCTCACCCTTCTTGTGTTGTCCAGGACAAGGGGGTCAGGCCGGCCGTAGTTGGGAGGGTTGGCGTGGGGATCATAGCCGAGCCTGGCCAGCATGGGGGCGATGACAGGCATGTCCCGCAGCACATCCGGGGGGATCTTACCCACCCACTTGGATAAGGCCTCCACGTTGACAGGCTTGATCACCTGGTCTGTAGATCTCTCTACCCTGTACAGGAAAAGGAGTGTGTCATTGGAGCAGGAACACATACACGGTTGCTTTTTACGGTTTTACTGTATAGTCTTACTTATACAAGAGCTCATTGTTTAAATGATACATTTTGGTAATGCTTCCTTTTACAGTACAGTACAGTGTACTTACCTAGAAAGTACTGGCTAATATAAGGCAAGTACATAGAACAGGGGTAGGTTCAGGGTTAGTAATAGTTATTACCCAGTAATTGTAGTTACTAAAATAAGTACATAGTATTTACATGGGTAACTGGACTGTAAAAGGAAGCGTTACCTACATTTTTAGCCAACTGTGATTTTGTACATGTACACTTCAGAAATGCATAACTTAGACAGTTACCTCTGATAACATATCACTCAAAATTGTAATATGGACTTTCTGTAAAACTGTTTTGAAATGATGTCTATTGTGAAGCGCGCTATACAAATAAATGTGAATTGAATCTTACCACAGTAATGGGTCTGATTAGATCACGCAACACAATTAAAGAAAGCACTAGGCTGTGCGTAATGCTTCAAACGAATGGCATTTCATTCTCTCCAGACCATCTCCCAAATGCATCTCATTTCATATTCCACACTATCCTTATATTTGATTAAGGTACACAATGACATTGATGAATGTTTCTTGATTTCCTAGTCTAGATGTGTAAGTTTCAGCACAACCTGGCAGAGTTCCAATGGCTTTATGCTGGAGTAAATTAGCTTACCGGTTTTATCGAACCCAAATAAATAATTATAGTCCAGTTTTTACTGCTTACTGTAGAGCATACCCTACTTTCTAACAGCAGAACCTGCTAAATAAGCCGCTTCCATCACTGCACCATAAGATATGTGGATTCAAATTTGCAGAGATATTAAAAATGAATCAGGCATTATGTCACACCCTGGGTAAATTATTCATGTCTGAAATTAAATATTTACAAACCCATGGATAAACCAGAAGATGCCAGATTTTTGTTTAGAGAGAACTTGGAGTGGCTTACTCATTAGGATTAGATTTAGGTGTGCCGAAAGAACACCACAGATACAGAACAATCAATGGGAAAACCACACAGTAAAACAAGCAGCTGTGCAAAATTTGATACACCAGTGTTTTGCCAGATGAGAAGATAATATCTAATCTTTTTACTCTTTTTATATCTGTATCCACTGTACGTCCGACTGATTTTACTTCTGCATTCTCCTTTTGATTCTAAACTGAACTCAAGTGCCACTGAGAATTGGGTAAGAGACAAACAGAAATTACTTAATTGGGAAATTGAGAGAAAACCATGCTGATGACCTAGGTCTGTGGTGGAGTAGTGAGTTTGACGTGTAATTAAACTCGAGATTCTGTGGGGTGTGGACTGGATCGACTCCATTCCTACAGTTTCTGAACAAATATTTGGGGTGCGGACAGGTGGGCTTTAGTGAACCCGAGGTTACTCCGCGAGTCAGTCCTAGAGCTCCTCCTGTGCGATTTTAGGGGAAAATCGGGTCTACTGTAGACGTCCAATAAATTTCTTACGCCTAAAGAACCCCACAGACACAGTGTAATCACCATGTGAAAATCTCAGAGTAAAACTGGGAGTTGTGAAAAAAATATGATCCAACAGTGTTTTGCCAGAAGTTGATCTATATGTAGAATATTTTTACTCTTCATTTTTCTATCTCTTTTAATTCCTTTAATAACAATTTTAATTGCCATCGCTTTTTTGTTTGTTTGATTATTTTAATTAATTTCTCAGTAAAGCACCCTGAATTCAATATGAAATGTTCTATATAAATAAACTTGCCTTGCCTAGGAGGATATAGGTTACAGGTATCACTAATATTTGCCAAGAGATTAAATAAACCTTTTTTCCACGAATACTGGACCACACTACTAAACACACATCTCCTATGACAGCAGATGGCAACAGCAAATATTGGGTCAATCTCACAAAGCCGGTCTAGAACATGTGTGGGTCATATTACCCCCGAAAGTGAAGTAGAACAGAATAAAAATACAATTATTTATACAAAATACAATAAAAAAAGTATAAAATCATATTTTGTAAAAAAAAATATTTTGCACAGTAGATTAAAGTAAAGTGAAAGTGAAATATGACCTGGATATGACTCACAAATGTTCACTCTCTGTTTTCCCAACTTTCAATGCTGCCTCTTTTTTGGGCTGAGATGACTGCAGTTGGAGTCGGATAGAGTAATTGAGGCCATATTCCGCGTTTTATTATTTCTTCCCTCATAGAGAACACTGGCTCCAGATGGGAAACAGATTATTATACTCAATCCCCATCTGCAGCCAAGAGACGGGGGATCGTCAGCTCCACATCAGAGTACTGTGTGGATCCAGTGCAAAAAAACTGCCCATGAACAACCTGTCCCTGAGCTTATAATTCCTTAATACAGCAAATAATGACACAAAACCAGCAGCAAGACTCATGCTGGCATGCTCTGTGTGCACAACCAAGCAAATGACCCAGAAGTCACTGTGACTGACAACCTGCCTCGTCATGCCTCCTCAAACACTACTCACAGGGCCGTAACTGGAAACAGTCATGAGCCGTCATAGTCTTCATAAAATGCAATCGCAAAGTCCAATATTCAGAGATGTGTATATGGCAATCTAAACATTTTAAAGAGAAAAACAAACCTAGTTCCCATCTCCTCTTATTCCTGGAATGCAAGAACACAGCAGTCTGTGAGTTATTGAGTTCACCTTCCCATCACACCCTCCCCGACCTCAGCGTTAGAGACCTGCCTCTCTCCCCAGGCACCACAAAGCACATTTATACTGGCAAGCCGCTCCGCTGTACATTTCATTGTTCAAGTCCCTGGCCGACGCAGTCCTTCACTTCTCTAATCCATTTACATGGGAATTGCACTTCGGCTGCAACATGATTAATAGATTTACTCTTTCCCAGGTCAGAAAGGACCATTTCTTTCTTTGCTGCAGTTATTTTCCTCAGTGGAAAACTTCAAATCATTCATTAAAAAACAGAAAACGCAAGCACTAAGCAAGCATGAACAGGAGGAAAAGCCATTTCTGACAGCCTTGCAGTGGATGCGTCATGCTATTCTCTAGAAAATAACATCCTCTGTTCGGCAGTTGCTATGGCCAACACATGCCAAACACGCAGTCAGCCTGCACTGACGCTTATGAATCTCTTTATGATACAGAGCTGACACCCTCTGAGGTGAGATTTGCATCTGTAAGCTTTGTAAAAGCACAAATATAAGATGACTGACAAAATGATAATTTTCATGGCCATTATGGACTAGGGGTGGGACAAAATGTCAATATATTGTTGTACTTCTCAGTACGATATGAGAATCGATATACTGGTGCGGAATAGCGATATAATTAATAAAATATTGCTAAAATATAATCTAATTTCTTATCCACTGCGCCATCACCACCCCGATTATATTTTATTATATATTATATATATAATAATATATAATAAGACACATGCCTTTGGTGTGAGAGACCCGGGTTCGACTCCACTGTGAGACCCCAATGTGTCCCTGAGTAAGTCACTCTAACGTAGAGCCCGACCGATAAAGGATTTTGAAGGCCGATACCGATACAAATATTTTTGGGTTTTAAAATCCGATATATCGGTTGATATTTTTTTTTTTTTATTAAATATTGTTGGATTTGACACGTGTAAAAGAAAAGCTAACTTTTCTGCACAATATACGTTTGATACTTTTTCTCTATGTCTAAATGTTCACTCCTCTCAACGCAAGTATAACTTACATTTTACAATGCAGGGACTGTAACTACAGATATGCTAGTTACAAATACAGTAATAATTTCTTTATTTAGGCAGAAAAAGTTCATTGTGGTTTCCAAGCTCGTTAATGTTAACGTTAGCGGTCTTCCACTGATGATAGTGGCATTAGCTTGCTTTGTGGTTAGCTAGTCTATGATGAGCCTTTATTAATTTAGCAATAGATAACATCATACTGCAAATTCTAAAACATACATTTTCAATATTACAGGCCAAGGAGAGATGATTAAAGCGTGTTTCGTCCGTTTTTATTTTATTTTTTAAATATTCATTTGTCGGCCATTTATAACTGCCGATGCCGATATTATGGAAAATGCCTAATATCGGCCAGCCGATATATCGGTCTGGCTCTACTCTGACGTGGCATTAAATTTACACAGTAAGAAATGTTTGATATGAAATCATGAGAATGGACAATTAAATATACAATATCAACCAAAACAACACATTTAAAATTGTATAATCATTTATTATATTAGCTTTGATGTCATGGGACTGGATTTTAAATACAGTGATTTTAAAACTTTCAAAAAAATGGTTAAATTGACAGCCCTATTAAAAACATTGAATTTATTTGAAATGTGACGGATTTTCTTGTCTTTATGTTGAGAAAAGTGTAAAAAGGAAAATAGATGATGGAAAGAGAAGAGGAACAGGATGGAAGCCAGATCCAAACTTGTGTCACCCACATGTGTAGGAGCACATGTGCCAGCCGCTAGACCACGTTCCCCTTCAACGACACATTTAGCCATGAAAAATATTCTTACATTCCCATATTTCCCATAAAAGGTGAGTATTTTCAGTGTGTGTTCACCACCCACATCCCATATGTACAGAACAGTAAATGCTCCAATAGCGACACAAATCACTATGCTGTCTATAAAGCGCCCGAGTTAGAGAGATGAAAGAGATAATTTAACTTCGCTACTGCTACATCCATTACTTCTCAGCAGGGGCTATATGACAGCAGACGCTGCATATATCATGATACTGACGGTGGCAATCCACTTGATTTTTGCAGCTCTCAAACAAATACGCTGCCCTTTTCTCGCCTTATTGAGAGTAGCCCACACAAACACACGCATACGCGTTTGTAAGGTCACGTGGAGCTACCTTCTGGAAGAGTGGCTTAATGGTCTCTGGCTGTTTGTCAATTATTCATGGAGGGCGCTAGAGCTTTTTGCATGGCGTTGTA